GGCACTACTCCTCTCACTGACACCAATGATGGGGCACTATTCCTCCCACTGACATCAGTGATGTGGCACTATTCCTCCCACTGATACCAATGATGGGGCACTGTTTCTCCCACTGATACCAATGATGGGGCACTATTCCTCCCACTGACATCAGTGATGGGGCACTATTCCTCCCACTGACACCAACGATGGGGCACTATTCCTCCCACTGACACCAACGATGGGGCACTATTCCTCCCACTGATACCAATGATGGGGCACTATTCCTCCCACCGATACCAATGATGGGGCACTATTCCTCCCACCGATACCAATGATGGGGCACTGTTCCTCCCACTGATACCAATGATGGGGCACTATTCCTCCCACCGACACCAATGATGGGGCACTATTCCTCCCACTGACACCAATGATGGGGCACTATTCCTCCCACTGACATCAGTGATGGGGCACTATTCCTCCCACTGACACCAATGATGGGGCACTATTCCTCCCACTGACACCAATGATGGAGCACTATTCCTCCCACTGACACCAATGATGGGGCACTATTCCTCCCACTGACACCAATGATGGGGCACTATTCCTCCCACACTGACACCAATGATGTGGCACTACTCCTCTCACTTACACCAATGATGGGGCACTATTCCTCCCACTGATACCAATGATGGGGCACTATTCCTCCCACTGATACCAATGATGGGGCACTATTCCTCCCACTGATACCAATGATGGGGCACTATTCCTCCCACTGATACCAATGATGGGGCACTATTCCTCCCACTGACACCAATGATGGGGCACTATTCCTCCCACACTGACACCAATGATGTGGCACTACTCCTCTCACTGACACCAATGATGGGGCACTATTCCTCCCACTGCAAAATTACAGTTATGAAGTAGCAAAGAAAATAATTTTATGGTTGGGGGTCACCACAACATGAGGAACTGTATTAAAAGGTCGCGGCATTAGGAAGGTTGAGAACCACTGCCCTACAGGAACATAGGGGGTATGAGGATTGAGCCATGATGCATCACGGGGGACACAGTCATCTTACGAGGGGCGACTGAAAAGTTCTCAGCCTACCCATGATGCATTTGTCTTAGCCCAATTTTATTTTTGCTACTCATAGTACATATCTTTGCAAGGTCCCATACCAAATTTCTCACAAATAGCTTTTTCTTTGTTTCAGTTATTGAAGACTGAAGCGCAGAAGGTCACCATTGTCTGAAAGATGGAGACGTGAGCAAACGTGCCGTTGTCCAATACCTGCTGACGCGTTTGTTGTCAACATTCTCGGGACCCACCGACTTGACACCTTGTGCATGTCCAGCACTACTGTTAAAATGTGTCCAACACGTTCCTGGGATATGCCCACTTTCTCTGCGATTAAAATGTTCTGTCACACGCCTGTCTGCCGTGGATTGCAGTGATGTTTTCCTCTGTACAGGCAGTTGCTGGCCTTCCACTGCGAGGGGCATCTTGGACAGAGGGGTTCCCCCTCTTGAATTCCACCACACACTTTTTAAGGGTGGAATAGGAAGGGGCATCCTCCCCTAATGTTTCCATCATGTCCTTGTTTATGTCTTGTCCACTCATTCCCTTTTTCAGCAGGTATTGGATAACGGCACGTTTGCTCACTTTCTCCATCTTTCAGACAATGATGACCTTCTGCGCTTCAGTCTTCAATAACTGAAAGAAAAAAAAGCTATTTGTGAGAAATTTGGTATGGAGCCTTGCAAAGATATGTACTATGAGTAGCAAAAATAAAAATGGGCTAAGACAAATGCTTTATGGGTAGGCCAAAAACTTTTCACCCCTCGTACACCACTAGGAGAGTAAAATGTGGAGTCTGCAGATGCTGCAGGGCTGGAGGCAGGACACATGGAACACCAGAAAGGTCTAATACAGGGGTGGACTGACCATTTGAGCACTCGGGCATTGGCCGAGGGCCCAGGGTTAGTAGGGGACCCCATAAAATGCCCCTGGTACCTTTTATATGCTTTTTTGGGTGTGTTTTGAGTGTGGGCAAGGACACAGGGGTCCCATGATCCCCAATTGCCCGGGGGCCCCACGAGTTGTCAGTCCCCCCCCGTGGTCTAATACTTCTTCTACCACAGGGGACGTTCAGTTGGACTCTTTTGAAACCAACAGGGTCCCTTTAAACCCCATAAATGTACATTGCATTCACAATAGAAAAGTGATTCGCAGTAAAAAGTGTCCAAGCAGGAATGAAATGCAAAGGCAATGCAAATGGCAGTGTGCACAGATACAAAGCCAGAGTATTGTATAGATCTCCCAGCACCATATATCAGACACAAGCACCCCCAAGCCCCCCAGCCACCACGGAGCTACAAGTCCCAGCATGCCACCCTGAACAGCTTGAAGAATACATTTGATTCTGCAAATTAAGCCACAAGCAAAACCCATTGTGTAATCTTAAATATTCCTTTAGCTCCTGTAAAAGCAAAGGGTTTAGCTGGGTGCGTGCGTCAGGAAAATCTCATTATTTGGGGCATGTGGAGAGGTTCAGAATTATTAATGTATTCTGAGGAATGTTGTTATAGTTGTAAATGAGATCTGTTTATAAATTCAAGTGGTAAGAATGGTAAATGGGAGAACAGATGACCAAATATATGACTGAGTTACAGTGTTTGGTCATTTAATATACAAATCTATGGCAGTGCAGACGGTACTAATGTGTGGAATGTCTGTAAATGTGGCTCTCCACTCATGCATTGGCTCCATAAACAGGGGTACTTTGACTGTGCGGTATGTCTAAAAAGGAGACGCTCCACGCATGCTGTATGCCATTACTTGTGTGGCAAGTCAACAAACGGGGGGCTCTCTACTCATGTGGTATGTCAAACAGGGGGCTCTCTACTCATGTGATAGGTCAATCAACAGGGAGCCCTCTACTCATGTGATAGGTCAATAAACAGGGGGCTCTCTACTCATGTGATAGGTCAATAAACGGGGCACTCTACTCATGTAATATGTCAAATAGGGGGTTCTCTACTCATGCGGTATGTTAATAAACAGGGGGCTCTCTGCACATGTGGTCTGTCTAAAAAGGAGGCTCTCCACTAGTGTGGTAGGTCACTAAACAGGGTCTCTCAAAACCAAAGGCATGCAATCAGAATGGATGCTAGAAGGGAGCCTTCAGCTTACTTTTACTGCATTCACTGCTCATTTGGCATGTCAGTAAACAGGGAGCTCTCGGCTCGTGTGGCATGTCAGTAAACAGGGGGGGGGGGCTCTGCCCGTGTGGCATGTCAGTAAACAGGGGGGGCTCTCTGCCCGTGTGGCATGTCAGTAAAACAGGGGGGGCTCTCTGCCCGTGTGGCATGTCAGTAAACAGGGGGGGGGGGCTCTCTGCCCGTGTGGCATGTCAGTAAACAGGGGGGGCTCTCTGCCTCGTGTGGCATGTCAGTAAACAGGGGGGGCTCTCTGCCCGTGTGGCATGTCAGTAAACAGGGGGGGGGGCTCTCTGCCCGTGTGGCATGTCAGTAAACAGGGGGGGGGCGCTCTCTGCCCGTGTGGCATGTCAGTAAACAGGGGGCGCTCTGCTGCCCGTGTGGTATGTCAGTAAACAGGGGGGGGGCTCTCTGCCCGTGTGGTATGTCAGTAAACAGGGGGGCTCCCTACCCGTGTGGTATGTCAGTAAACAGGGGGGCTCCCTACCCGTGTGGTATGTCAGTAAACAGGGGGGCTCCCTACCCGTGTGGTATGTCAGTAAACAGGGGGGGGCTCTCTGCTCGTGTGGTATGTCAGTAACAGGGGGCTCTCTGCTCGTGTGGTATGTCAGTAACGGGGGCTCTCTGCTCGTGTGGTATGTCAGTAACAGGGGGCTCTCTGCTCGTGTGGTATGTCAGTAACGGGGGGCTCTCTGCTCGTGTGGTATGTCAGTAAACAGGGGGGCTCTCTGCTCCGTGTGGTATGTCAGTAAACAGGGGGCTCCCTACCCGTGTGGTATGTCAGTAACAGGGGGCTCTCTGCTCGTGTGGTATGTCAGTAAACAGGGGGCTCTCTGCTCATGTGGTATGTCAGTAAACAGGGGGCTCTCTGCTCATGTGGTATGTCAGTAAACAGGGGGCTCTCTGCTCATGTGGTATGTCAGTAAACAGGGGGCTCTCTGCTCATGTGGTATGTCAGTAAAGTAACAGGGGGGGGCTCTGCCCGTGTGGCATGGGGGCTCTCTGCTCATGTGGTATGTCAGTAAACAGGGGGCTCTCTGCTCATGTGGTATGTCAGTAAACAGGGGGCTCTCTGCTCGTGTGGTATGTCAGTAAACAGGGGGCTCTCTGCTCATGTGGTATGTCAGTAAACAGGGGGCTCTCTGCTCATGTGGTATGTCAGTAAACAGGGGGCTCTCTGCTCATGTGGTATATCTATAAACAGGGGCCCTGTGCTTGCACAGTATGTCTATAAACTAGGCCTCTCCCTTCAAATGCATGCAACCATAATGGATGCTATAAGAGAGCCTGCAGCTCACGTTCCATGCAGGTGATGGAACACGGTTTGTGCAGATTACAGAAGCATCATTTTAACTGTATTCAATTCCTGATGGGACTAACTACATTATCCCATCTTCATAGCCACTCTGTAACACTGGCTGCGAAGATGGGCAAGGTACCCCTCCTTGGTGCACAGGCACCCAACACCACAGATAGCAGCGAGCACCTGTCTACAGCTCCCAGCACTTGTCCGAGGCAAGTACTGAGGAATGCAGGAGGCGGCGAGGCGGACATTTCCGTCCAATGCTGCTGCTAGTGTTACCGGACACCTAGGAAGGAAGGAAGGTGGTACTTCTTTAAAAGCTACAAATTGTGGTGCTGCCCGCATTAACCAAACAATAGTTCTGTATTTGCCCTTCTATAAGATGGTCACATCTGCCTCCAGAAACTACATTCTATTATTAGGGGCTTCAGATGTCAGTAATTAATTCCAGTGCTCAGATCACTATATAAAACACATCGGTAACGGTTCTCACCTGCTGGCAGTACTGAAATCACCCCACAGATCTGCTGATGGGGCGGGGGCTTTAGGTGCTGGAAGAGGGGAACCCAAATCTAGCAGAATATCTGAGGAGGAAGAGAACACATTATGAAGTCTTCATCACATGTATGGAAACCAAATCTATTTTTTAAAATATGTTCAGCGTTGTGCCTCTCTGTAGATACTTACAGTACTGAGAAAAAGTATTCGCCCATTTCTTTTTTTGCATATTTGTCACACTTAAAGGATTCAGATCATCACAGTTTAATATATTACTCAAAGATAATCGAAGCAAATACAAAATGCAGTTTTTAAAATTAAGATTTCATTTATTAAGGGGGGGAAAAAAAAAAAAGCTGTCCAAACCTGCCTGGCACTATGTGACAAAGTAATTGCCCCCTAAACCCAATAACTGGTTGGGCCACCCTTGGAGGTAACAGCTGCCATCAAGTGTTTACGATAACTGGCGATAAGTCTCTCCCATCGCGGTGGAGGAATTTTGGCCTGCTATTCTTTGCAGATTTGTTTTAGTTCAGCCGACTGGAGGGTTTTCCAGCATGAAGGCCTGTTTAAAGGTCATCCCACAGCATTTCAATTGGATTTAAGTCCGGACTTTGACCAGGCCAGTTCAAAACCTTAATTTTGTTTTTGTGAGCCAGAGCTGGACTTGCTGGGTTAAGCATCAGAACAATGATCCGGAACACACCAAGTGCACTTGAGGTTCAAGTCATGCATCGATGGCTGGGAATTCTCCTTCAGAATTTTCTGGTAGAGTGCGGAATTCATGGCTCCATCAATGATGGCAAGTCGTTCAGGTCTTGATGCTGCAAAGCAGCCCCAGACCATCATATGACCACCACCATGTTTGGAACAATGTTCTTTTTATGAAATGTGGTGTTAGTTTTTACGCCAGATTTAACATGATGCACACCTTCCAAATGTTTGCCTCATCATCCACAGAATATTCTCCCAAAAGTCGTGGGATAATCAAGATGTTTTTGGCAAATGTGAGACAAGTCTTCATGTTTTTTGGTCAACAGTGGCTTTCTCCTTGGAACTCCCCCATGGAGCCCATTTTTGCCCAGTCTGTTTCTTATTGTCGAATCATGAACACTGACCCTAACTGAGGCAAGCGAGGCCTGCAGATCTTTAGATGTTGTTCTGGGTTCTTTTAGGACCTCCTGGATGAGTTGCCGTTGTGCTCTTGGAGTAAGTTTGGTAGGCCGGCAACTCCTGGAAAGGTTCACCACTGTTCCAAGTTTTCTCCATTTGTGGATAATGGCTCTCACCGTGGTTTGCTGGAGTCCCAAACCCTTAGAAATGGCTTTGTAACCCTTTCCAGACTAACACATGTCAATTACTTTGTTTCTCATCTGTTCTTAAGATTGCGGCATGAAGTGGTGCTTTTTTAGATCTTTTAATGTGTTTCACTTTGTCAGACAGCTTCAATTCAAGTGACTTTTTGACAGTGATCAGGCCTGGGTGTGGCAAGTAACATTCAACTCGGCTTTCCAAAAATGTGGTTAATCAACGTTCATTCATGGGGGAGGGGGCAATTACTTTTTCCACATGGGGCCAGGCAGGTTTTTGAACAGCCTTTCCCTTAATGAAATCATTTAAAAACTGCCCTTTTTGTTTACTTGGGAAATAAAAGAGGTACATTAAATAAAAGGTGCCTCAGTGTTTTTATCAGTATGGATTATATTCTAACAAAGTGTAAATTATTAAAAAAAAAAATTAAATAAATAAAACCTGTACATGTCATCTTAGAATAAATACCTCTATAGTAAGGGGATCTTCTGAAGTAACAAGTACTAGTACTAGCAACAAGTAGTTCAGACGTGTTCAAACAAAACACTAATCTTTTACATAGGGGTTTGGGGAATATGAGGGGAGGGAGTAACAAGATAATCATAGGTAGGGTATGAAAGGGGATGAGAAATAAAAAAAAAAAAAAAAAAAAAAAAAAGGGGGGGGGGGGGGGGGGAAGGGAGGTTAGGGATAGTAAAGCCAGCCATACACAACCAGATTTCTCTCCTTCAGCATGAAGGATATAAAAAAAATAAATAAAAATCGATTCTTCTATCCATGCTATACAGGGTGGAAAGGATTTGCCAGTGCTGGGTACTGCATTCAAACAGCTGCACACTGGCTACTGCCTGCATACCGGACAATCACTGCATCTGGTAGGATGTGATGGGATAGGACTTCTGATGAAATGGGATGGGATATGGCTTCAGATGGGATAGGGCTTCTGATGAGATGGAATGGGGCTTCAGATGGGATGGGATGGAATGGGGCTTCAGATGGGATGGGATGGAATGGGGCTTCAGATGGGATGGGATGGAATGGGGCTTCAGATGGGATGGGATGGAATGGGGCTTCAGATGGGATGGGATGGAATGGGGCTTCAGATGGGATGGGATGGGGCTTCAGATGGGATGGGGCTTCAGATGGGCTGGGATGGGATGGAATGGGGCTTTCGACAGGATGAGATATGGCTTCTGATGGGATGGAATGAAATAGAGCACCAAGTTTGCACATCACTGAGCAAAGTCGCAGAATCGTTTTCAGTGTCTGATGACGAATTTCCCCACGAATCATCATCACTCAATTCTGCAAGTGATTCTAATTCACTGTTGCGGTTTTCTAGCTTTTTGGATGCCATGGACATTCTCAAGTTTCCAGGCAGAAAGAACGGTAAAAGTGCAGGCAGGGGCGCCGGACAAAGCACTCGGGACAAAATTTAGGTGAAATGGTTTGATACAGTAATGTAATGCTAACAGATTACAATGTATTGTGTGTATATCACGTTTTTACCCTTTTGAATCTCCCGCCAATTCCGCCCCCATACGTGCTGACGCTCGCAGGGAACGGAACCTGAAAGACGGATGCCGGCATCGGCCGGCGGACATGGTGGGAGGAACTCGCGGGATCATGGGATTAAGGCAAGGCTCAAGGGATCGCTGCAGTGTAATTCTGAGTGTTGCTCGAGGTTACTGCTTTTGGTACTGAAATTATCCCCGAGCCACACTCGGGATTACCGCCAGGAAGGTTAATAAATTATTTTTTAAAAGGTAATGCACTAGGCCCGTGCGTCCTCTGTTTCTTTGTATGCAGTATTCCGGATCCCCCTGTTCTGTTGAGGGCAGGAATATCTGCAGTTTCCAGACATCCCACTTGTGGGTCCAAACCTCTGTGGAGTCCATGTTCACACCATTTCTTATCTTGGATGTGATGTCAGAAGCCCCAGTAAACTCAGAACTGTCATTCAAGTGACATTCTATAGCACGTGTTGAACAAAGCCAGCAGGCCGAATCCGGCCCGCGGCCAATTTCATGTGGCCCTCGCACTTCTCTTCTTGCGGCAGCAACCCCCTCATCTCCGTCTTCACCTTGTCTCGGCAGTAGAGGACGGCAGAATAACTCTGCCAGATCCTGCATCTCTCTGTGCAGCTGCAGCACCGACTCCGGCAGCTAACTTCAGCCCTCCTATGGTCCTCCTCCAGACCCTGCACTTCCTGCTTCCCAGATCTGTCCCTAGCTTCTTCCTGGCAGCAGCACAAGGTTAGGAGGGGTGTACTGTAATGTAAGGAAATGTGGGGGACTCTTGCTATCTGATATAAGGGGGGAGGAGGTGGGTCCTCTGGACATCTAATCTTACAGGTATAACCGGCCCTTTGAGGGCAACCAAAATGCGGATGTGGCCCGAGATGAAATTGATTGCAACACCCCTTGTCTATAGCATTCCCCTTCGCTTCTCGCCTGACTGCTACATAAACACTTATATAGAGGCGAGGGGTGGAGAAGCTGGGCCAGCACATACAGTTATCACTCATGCAAGAAGGGAAAGGATGTGCTAGGAATCGACTTCTTCTTTAGAAGTCGAATTGTGCTTTTACCTGTAAGGTTTTCAGGTTAGTTACAGGGCCTCAAAGTTTCTCAATGTACAATGAAGCCATAATGAGCATTAGAACTCTGTGTTCATTTTTTATTTTTTTTTAATAGGATCTCAGATGGGTAGAGAGATAAAAGAAATTGTTTTCTCATACCTGGGCTGGTGGAGGTGTTGCTGGGCTGTATAGGTGGAGGAGTCACATGGTTTGCAACAGGTACTGAAGGGGTAGCGGGAGCTGGGATTTTACCACCAGGAGGGGGTGGAAGCAGACCAATCGCACCAGCTCCAACACCTCCTCGAGGCTTGCATGGACCATCCTTCTTCTTCATGTTCTATGGGGAAAAGGCATGCATTGACAAACATTGGTCCACTCTATAGTATGTTGCATATATACGCACACAATAAAAGGGCGGTGGTTGTACATACCCCAATGTTTAATTTGATTGTCTGACCCTCTTTGAAACCCAAATCCAGCTTGGGGTGATTGTCCTGTCCTTGAGGCTCTTTGGACAGCTCCGTCTCCTGCTTCACCCACCTGCATCAGGATGACAGTTTACTAAAACCTTTATCATAGGCGCAATGCCACGGATCGAGAGAGGTGCAGAAATACTACGGCATACATTTCAGGTTGTTTCCCTTGTTAAGCATGAAAACCTTTCTAAAATGCATATATAGAGTACATGGTGTGCTAGATCAGTCAACTTATGTTGACAAATGCGGCCCCTGACATCACCTAAGGTCCCGCACATAGACCTCCCAAGCAGAATATTAAAATAAAAAAAAAAAAATTTATGTATTTTTATATAATATATATATATATATATATATATATATATATATATATATATATATATATATTTTTTTTTTTAATATTGTGCTTGGGAGGTCTATGTGCGGGCCCTTTGGTTATATCACTGTCTGAGACTGCAGATCTTATAGAGGAAAGGAGGGTCAGGGATGTTCAATTTGAATCGCCTGCAGCCCGGGACATGTAGTTATAGACGCCGGGCAGGTAGTTTTGTTTTTAATAACCTTTAACCCTGCTGTGGGCAAGCGGCAGGGCTCACCAGTCAGGTGGAAGCATTTGGGCGGCTGCCCGATTGCTTCCACATAACCCACTACAGTGCCAGCCTCTGCCCCCATGTCTCCCAGGCTCCGCTTGCCCATCTGCAGGTCCAGGACCGGATGTAGCAGGTGACGGTGGGTATAGGGGAGGGGGGACAGCGGACACGTCCACTTCCCTCCCCTTCTTGTCCTGACCCAGAAGTGACGGTGTGATGTCACTTTCGGGTGCCCGTTGACAGATCTGGCCATCGAGACTGGGAAAAGAATGTAATGCAGTGCAATGTGCACTGCATTACATCCAGTGCAGTACAGGGGAGACATGTAGGGTCTTTTAGACCCTGGATGTCCCAATAAAGAGAACCTGTCACCAAACATCACATAGGGGATTTTTGTTACCTGTGTGATGGCAAAGTAAAAAAAAATAAAATAAAAATAAAAAAAAGTTTTTTTTTTAAATCTAAAAAAAAAAAAAAAAAAAATTTATTGCTTTAAAATGAAAAACTTTTTTTACTTTTTTTTTTTTTTAAATTAAAAAAAAAAAAAAAAAAAAAAAAGTTACATCCAAGCACATACACCCCCCGCCCACCCAAATAAAAAATAAATTGAGTTCCCCCCCCACCCAACATATACATGTGCAAACATAAAAAAAGCACAAGCTGGGGCACCTACGCACAAAAACGTCAATTGCGATACAGGTTTTATATCGCCGTGCACGCCAGGACGCGAGCAATAATTTAAGCACCAGACCTCCTCCATAACGCTGTACTGATGAACTAGAAGGGGCTTTAAAAGCGTCGCTATAGAATATAGGGTACCAAAGTTTGTTGCCGTTTCACGAGTGCACGCAAAGTTAAGGTTTGACATGCTGGATATCTATCTACTCGGTGCAACCTTGTCTTTAAATTTAAAAAAAAAAAAAATTGTAATCTATTGCTTTTTGTGCCCTAAAATTAACTTTAGTTTATTTTTTACTGAAATATTGCGTTTCTTAGACCTCTGTTGTAACATCGTGTGACATAAAAAAATTGGAACTACCACCATTTTATTTTCTAGGGTCTCTGCTTTCAGAAAATATATCATGTTTGGGAGGGTTGTGTGTAATTTTCAGGCCTAAAATTATTTTTTTAAACGTGTGCAAAAAAACCAAAAAAGGGCTCTGGCAGTGAAAAGGGATAAAGGATAAGTCCCACACTTCCCTTTCCTGAGGAGAAGCCAATCAGCGCTCATTATACTGCAAGGTCTCTCCCCTCCCTGCTAGTTCCCATGTGCGGTGCTGGAGACAGGCAGGGAGGTAAGGAGGAGATGAACAGTGCAATGGTAAAATTATTACACGTTTAACCTCCCTGGTGGTCTAACTAATCAATATTTTTGAATTTCAAAGTGGTACTTTTTCTGCATGGAAATTTGTTGTTTTATATTGTAGTCCTGTAATTCTTAGGAATAACTCACTGAAATCTGTCCGAACAAGAGTCTAGTAAACATCTCAGGTATGACAAAATTTGAAACACGAAATCATAAATTATAATATAATAAATCATTATAAAAAGAAGAAGATAATAATAATAATAATAATACATTTAATTCAATAATACAGGTGAAACTCGAAAAATTAGAATATGGTGCAATAGTTGATTTATTTCAGTGCAGCAACTTAAAAGGTGAAACTAATATATGAGACTCATTACATGCAAAGCAAGACTGATGACAAATCACGGCTTGAACTATCTTGCTTTGCATGTAATGAGTCTCATATATTAGTTTCACCTTTTAAGTTGCTGCACTGAAATAAATGAACTTTTGCACCATATTCTCAATTTTTTGAGTTTCACCTGTATAATCAAACCAAAAACACTGAAATGTGAAATAGAGCGCCAAGTTCGCACATCGCTGAGCTCAGTCGCAGAATCGTTTTCAGTGTCTGATAAGGAATTTCCCCCACCAATCATTATCACTCAATTCTGCAAGTGGTTCTGATTTACTATCGCTGTTCTCTAGCCCTACCCCTGTCCCAGAGGCATGATGGGACATGTAGCTCCACAACAGCTGGAGGACGCCGCAGTTGCCCACCCCTGTCCCAGAGGCATGATGGGACATATGGGGGAGCTCCACAACAGCTGGAGGGCCGCAGTTGCCTACCCCTGTCCCAGAGGCATGATGGGACAAGTAGCTCCACAACAGCTGGAGGGCCACAGTTGCCTACCCCCGTTCTAACCCTTTCATGCTCAAACAAAAAAGGTTCCCCCCCCCCCAAAAAAATAAAAAAAAAGAAGTTTTAGCTGAAGCGGTGCTTTTTATATTTACACACAGCAAAGGTAAAAAAAAAAAATTGTTGCATTGGCATGGCGTGGGGTATTACCAGAATATGAACGCCAAAATCATCGCGATGGTTCAACACTTACTTGAAATGATCCTGTAATGAAACATTGAAGTCAAAATGCGTCCCCCCGATCAGAGAAGCCAATACCGATAAACGCACTCCTCCCTGGTGGTTTATAAGAAAGAAGCCGTTAAAAGAAAAAAAACAAAAAAAAAAAAAAAAAAAAAAACCAGTACTATATCGCTGCAGCTCACTCTACCCTCCTCAGTTTACCCTAGGGTTAACCTATCCTGCAATAAGAACTGTCAGTGCCGGTTCACATAGAAGCGGATTGGATGCAGTTTGAACAGCATCTAATCCGCATGACACGTGAAATCACATTGCTTCCCATGTGCCTGAGCACATATGTCCGGTGCACTGGCGGTACGGATTGAAAAAGAGTCCTGTATGATTTCTGAGCAGTGAACCCCCCGTCCCGGTTTAGGTGCGGATTACAGGCTATCGACTTTTAAAAGGAACCGTTTCTAAACTGCACACGTGTGAACAGGATAAAATCTTGTTCCTGAACCTGATGTAACCCTGATCTGAACTGCTGAACAACTACCGTGACAATTAGCTGTGAAACCTGAGCTTCGATCCGCACCGGACATGTGTGAATCAGCTCTCGGTGTCTCCTAGATTGTAAAACAGCCAACAGTCCAGGATCAGGGCCCTCCGATTCCTCTTGTACCAAATTGTAGTGTAACTGTAATGTCTCCCTTTATATTGTAAAGCGCTGCGCAAACATTTGGCGCTATATAAATCCTGTATAATAATATTAATAAACTATGCAGTAATCAGATCCCTGGTCCCAATTTTTGTTTTTTTGCAACTATTTAGACAGAAGGCTAAATATTTTTTTACCTCAACGCAAAAAACTGACCACACACACCACACACACACACACACAAGTCACAACACACACACACACACAACACACACACACACACACACACACCACACACCCTGTACACACACACACACACACACTGCACACACACACACACACACACACACACACACACACACCTGTCTCCAGAGTGATAAGCTCCACAGGATCAGGGCCCTCTGCCTTGTTTCCGCTGTGATGCGCGACTAATGTAGTTGCAACAACAGCTGGAAGAGGCCGCAGTGACCCCCGTTTTATACCCTTTCATAACCAAACACCCGGCCCCCCCCCCCAAAAAAAATAAATAAAAAAAGTTTTAGCCTGAAGCACACACACCTAAACAAAAAACACACACACACTGACACACACACACACACACGCCTTTAGATCTGCCATCAACTACAGTGCAAGGGCCTGTCTGATTGGATGTTAACACCCCCCCCCCCTTCCTGCCCAAGCCAATTTTAAGCTTTCAGCACGGTCGCACGTTGAATGACAATTGCGCGGTCATGCAACACTAACATTTTTATAATTTATTTTCACACAAATAGAGCTCTCTTTTGGTGGTATTTATTTACTACTGGGTGTTTTGTTTTTTCTTTTCAAAGTCTTCAATCTTTTTTTCATTTAGCAAAAAATAAAATGTTCTTCTTAGTACCCATTATAAAATTTTGCAAACAAGGAAATTTTCTCCGTCACTGATGTGCGTTGAGGAGGTGCACTGACTGGCAGAACTGATGAGGTGGCACTGGTGGGCACCAATAGGCGGCACTAACTGGCAGAACTGATGAGGTGGCACTGGTGGGCACCAATAGGCGGCACTAACTGGCAGAACTGATGAGGTGGCACTGGTGGGCACCAATAGGCGGCACTAACTGGCAGAACTGATGATGGGTGGCACTGGTGGGCACCAATAGGCGGCACTAACTGGCAGAACTGATGAGGTGGCACTGGTGGGCACCAATAGGCGGCACTAACTGGCAGAACTGATGAGGTGGCACTGGTGGGCACCAATAGGCAGCACTAACTGGCAGAACTGATGAGGTGGCACTGGTGGGCACCAATAGGCAGCACTAACTGGCAGAACTGATGAGGTGGCACTGGTGGGCACTGGTGGGCACCAATAGGCAGCACTAACTGGCAGAACTGATGAGGTGGCACTGGTGGGCACTGAAGGGCACCAATAGGCGCCACTAAAAAGGCAGAACTGATGAGGTGGCACTGGTGCACTGAAGGGCACCAATAGGCGGCACTAAAAAGGCACTGACTGGCAGCACTGAAGGGAACTAAAAAGGCACTGACTGGCAGCACAGATCAGAGCACTGGTAATCAGGGAAGTGATCATCAGTGTAGATGTCCCCTTTTCACACTGCCGATAACTGGCAAGTGTGTTTACATCGCGATCAGCCATGATTGGACACAGCTGATCACATGGTAAACAGCAACTGTGGAGGGCCCCCAAGCGAGACTTGTGATGACAGAGAGCGCCGGGTGCACCGCAGTGGGTGGATAGGGGGGGGGGGGGGGGGGGGGGGGGGGGGAGTTGCAGTTCTGGGAGGGACGTCAATAGACGCCCTCTCAGAACAGGACAACCGCGCTGTAGCCATCATTCAGCTATAATGCAGTCAGCAAGTGGTTAATTGGATCTATTGTTTATCTCTGTCCTCATATAACATAGTTTCGGTAAATGTAAAGGAGATTGTACAATCAGCTTGTATAGTGCATGGCAAGCAAGCTTTACTCTGAACCCAAGGATCAGTTGTGTGTGGGCCCTCTATGTCATGACCTACAATGCAGGACCTGGCATTGGTCCTGCATTGTAAAAGATGGTGGAGATGAGTGGGGCAGCATCACGACAAGTTTCAGACCAGCAGTAAGAACAGCTTTGGGGGTCTAGTAGTCAAAACCATATTGGGTGAGCAAGCTGACTGCAGGACTATGGGTTCAGGTAAACATACCCTTTGGATTAAATTCTCCCACACAAAAATGAGCATTATATTCTTCATAGGATGGATGGGAAGGCGGGGGGATTTTTGGTCAAATTGCTTTAAAAAGGTATATGCCAACACCTGGGGGTGTCTGAATTTCTTTGTTAAATTGAAATGTAGAAATCCATGAGGTTCACCTTAGAGTGGAGCTAAAAACTGTATGTGAGCACCACAAACTGAAAATGCTATTTATTTCACCTTCAATATTCAAAGCAAACTCCCCCAATCCATCCATATCACCATGATTTTGTTAAGAAAATCACTTTGAAAAAACAAACAAACAAAAAAAAAAAAAAAAAAAAACCACTCCGCTCCCTAGCATTTCTAGCTGCAGCCATCTTGAGTACGAGCAGATGATTCTTGTAGCATTTGTAGCATTTACTTCCTGGAATCCATCTGCCCTTAGCTCAGGCATGCAGGCAGGAGCGTGCGTTTAGCTTAGAAAGTCCCTCCTCCTGGGATGTATGACAATTTTGGCATAGGCCAGAAACCAGGAAGTAAATATACCTTCCTATCCATTTACTAATGCTAGCAGCATAAGGATTCAAATAGTTCATAATAAATTGAGAGAGTTCTGCTTTAAAAGAAGAAGAATTCCAGGTATGGACATTTTCACAGTTACATTGTTCCATCTTGGACCCACTATGTATACACAATACCTGTGAGATCCCTCTACAAGCTGGAAATCACCGTATAGACACCACTATTGGGCTACGTTCACACTAGCCTTGTTTTCAAGTGGCAGAGAGGCGTTTGGGAAGCGTTTCTATTGCTTCCCAAACGCCTCTGACAATTCTGCACATTGCAGCACATGGTGCTGTTCTAACGGGAGCGTTAGCGTCGCGGCAAAACAGACGCCTCTGGTCGAGTCAGGAGGTGTTGAAGCCTCCTATTCTAGTCTATGGTGCCGCTCCGCAAACACCTGGTCGGCGTTTGCGGTGCGGTGCGGTTGCGAGGTGGTTGCGGGGAGGTAACACCATTCAAACTTCATTATAGGCGTTTGTGGGGCGTTTTTAACGCTCGGAAAACGCCTAGCAACCTCCGCTAAACCGCGCATGCAGCGTTTGCGGAGTGTTAAAAAAACGCTCCGCAAACGCCGGACCAATGCTTGCCAAACGCTAGAGGGGCGTTTGGCAAGCGTTGGTAAAACAGTCAAGTGTGAACGAGCCCTTACAGAGCTCTTCATTTGTGTCCGGGTCCCATGCTGAGCAACTGCCCTGCTGCACTGCACACAGGAGGTCAGCTTTTCAGTATGGGTGCCATTTAGCGAATGCTTTGCATTTTCTAAATGATCACGAAGTGTTCTCTGATTGGAAGAAGCGGAGAGCTCGACGTCACCACCCCTGCTCTCTACCTCATCTAATCAGAGAAGGCTTCGCATTTATTGAGGAAATGCAAAGCATTCTCTGAATGGCGCCAATGCTGAGCAGACCGACCTCCTGTATTCACAATGCAGTAGGGCAGAAGCTCGGCACGGGACCCGGATGCAAGTAGAGATCACTGTAGGTACTGTATGGTATATACATAGATAGTCCAAGCTGGACCAATGTGACTATGTAAACATATCCATACCGGGACTTAATCTTTGATACAATCAGTCATTTATCTCACCATTCCCATCTTGAATTCTAATCACAAAGTAGCGGCTGGAGTCAGTCACGGTCTCCACTGCGATTCCGGGAAACTGGTCTACCGGTGCCTGAGCGAAGAGTTCCCCTGACAAAGAAAAGAAACGTCAATGCCCAGATTTACTTGTATAGGGCAAAAAAAAAAAAAAAATAAATAAATTATTTATATATATATATTAATATATATATATATATATATATATATATATATATATATATATATATATATATATATATATATATATATATATATATATATAGTATATATATATATATATATTAGTGCTCGGCATAAATACGAATACACCCCAACAGATTTGTCAAAAAAACCTTTCCTTTCAGAAATCAACATTTTCCATGGGACACTATAATACAAAATCCTCCCACAAATGCCGGCCGTTGATTGCAAACAAGAAAAGTATTTTTCCTAACAAATTCATCCAAGACCATGTTGCAAAAGTGAATACACCCCAATGAAAAGTCTTAGGAGTAAAGCTAAATTTTAGACATAAACAACCTAATGAACAAGGATTCAACTCCAGGTGAGTCTAATTATTCATTAAACAGGTGTCCAGCAGACAATTATAAAAGGGCGTTACTTAAAGAAAACCGCGCCCATGTCATGCTGTCAGCAATGGCAACACATGGAAGAGAAATGTCACAAGGCCTGAGAAAGAGAATCATTTCTTTACATAAGAAAGGTGAAGGCTACAAGAAGATCAGCAAAGCTTTACTTGTCAGAATACTGTAGCAAAAGTGATACAAAAATTTAACAAAGATGGAACTGCAACCATCTCACAGAGACATCCAGGCCCTCCACGGAAGTTAAGACCTCAGCATGTGCATCTTCTGGTGAGAAGGGTTGAAGAAAAAATCGACATTCAAGTTCACTGCAGTTAGCTAAAGAAGTAGACAGCCAAACTGGGGTGATTGTTTCCCATGACACAATACGGTGTACACTGCAGAGGAATGGCATGCATGGGTGTCGTCCATGAAGGAAGCCTCTCCTAAAGCCCATGCACAAAAAAGCCCGCCTAGAAGTTTCCAGGGACCATGATGAAAGAGAAGACTCAGTGAAGCTGCATGAGTGTTGCTGGTGTCAGGGAGCTGCATTCCATCGATGGTGTCAAGAATTCACACAGATGTACTGCTCTATAGAGAAGATGCTCCCTTCACTCCATGCCCTCAGTCGTCGTGCACTTTTCCATCATGGCAATGATCCAAAACACACATCTTAGGCCACGGTTGTATTTCTGAAGAAGAACCGAACCGGGTGACAGTGATTCAGTGGCCAAGTATGTCTCCTGATCTGAACCCAATCGAACACCTATGGGGAATTCTGAAGAGACGAGTTGAGCATCGCTCTCCATCCAGCATCCAGGCTCTAAAAGAGGTCGTTCTTGAAGAAAGGAAAGAGATTGATGTTGCAATATATCTCCAACTTGTTCATTCCATGCCTAGAAGTCTCGGTGCTGTCCTTACAAATCATGGAGGTCATACAAAATGCTAGATGGAGGAGTTTTTGTTGTGGGTTGAATTCATTTTTACATCAACTAATTAGATTACAAAATCTTCAGTTTTACTCAGAGTTAAATTTATGAACCTTACTGGCATGTCAAGAGTCGAACAAATCTTCTATAAAACTCAGTTTTGGCAAAATTGTGTAAATTCTTCTTGTGTTCATTGAGAAAAGGGGTGTACTCATTGATGCTGAGCACTGTATATATACTTTTCCAGATATAAGACATCGTCACCCATATTAAATACAGGACAGGAGACTGAAGACTGAAGGGAAGGCTGGAGATGCCCTTAAATAACTCATTGATGGCTATGAACTGCCTGTCCCAGGCGTTGGGCAATAGAATTTGCACAAGTGACATATCAGCATGGATGTCTCCACTTCCTCAAACTCAATCTTTCCAAAACTGAGCTCTTAGTATTCCCTTCAACCCGTGCCCCCCCCCCCCCCCCCCCCCCCCCCCTTCTCCATCAAGATCAATAACACAACCATCAGTCCTTCCCCTCATGCCAGGGTACTAGGTGTCATCCTAGACTCCCATCTGTCCTTTCAGTCCCAAATCCAATCACGTCCAAATCTTGTAGACTTCACCTCCGCAACACCTCCAACCTCCGCAACACCTCCAAGATACGACCGTTCCTAACCTCGGAAACTACTAAGCAACTTATCCACTCCCTTGTCATATCACACCCTCGACTACTGTAACTCCCTCCTCATTGGCCGACCTCATCGCAGGCTATTCCCTCTTCAGTCTATCATGAATGCTGCTGCCAGAATCATCCAACTTACTAACCATTCTGTATCTGCCATCCCTCTCTGCCAATCCCTCCACTGACCTCCACTCAGTGTCCTCCATCCCTCTCTGCCAATCCCTCCACTGGCCTCCACTCAGTGTCCTCCATCCCTCTCTGCCAATCCCTCCACTGGCCTCCATTCAGTGTCCTCCACCCCTCTCTGCCAATCCCTCCATTCAGTGTCCTCCACCCCTCTCTGCCAATCCCTCCACTGGTGTCCTCCACCCCTCTCTGCCAATCCCTCCACTGGCCTCCATTCAGTGTCCTCCACCCCTCTCTGCCAATCCCTCCACTGGCCTCCATTCAGTGTCCTCCACCCCTCTCTGCCAATCCCTCCACTGGCCTCCATTCAGTGTCCTCCACCCCTCTCTGCCAATCCCTCCACTGGCCTCCATTCAGTGTCCTCCACCCCTCTCTGCCAATCCCTCCACTGGCCTCCATTCAGTGTCCTCCACCCCTCTCTGCCAATCCCTCCACTGGCCTCCATTCAGTGTCCTCCACCCCTCTCTGCCAATCCCTCCATTCAGTGTCCTCCACCCCTCTCTGCCAATCCCTCCACTGGTCTCCACTCAGTGTCCTCCATCCCTCTCTGCCAATCCCTCCACTGGCCTCCATTCAGTGTCCTCCACCCCTCTCTGCCAATCTCTCCACTGGCCTCCATTCAGTGTCCTCCACCCCTCTCTGCCAATCTCTCCACTGGCCTCCATTCAGTGTCCTCCACCCCTCTCTGCCAATCCCTCCATTCAGTGTCCTCCACCCCTCTCTTCCAATCCCTCCACTGGCCTCCATTCAGTGTCCTCCACCCCTCTCTGCCAATCCCTCCACTGGCTTCCCAGTTGCCCAACGGATAAAATTCAAAACATTAACGTATAAAGCCATTTATAAATCCGCCACAAATTACATCACCAATCTTGTCTCGAAATATCACCCAAACCGTCCTCTCCGCTCCTGGCACAACCTCCTGCTCTTTAGCTCCCTTGTTTCCTCCTCCCATGCCCGTCTACAGGACTTCTCCAGAGCTTCCCCCATCCTCTGGAACTCTCTACCCCAAATTTATAAGATGAATATGAATTTATTTTCAGCACTTTTTTGGCCAATAGGCTGTTTTCACCACACTGAGCAGTTTTCGAAGTGCTTTTTCAAAAAAAAAAAAAAAAAAAAAAAAAAAAAAAAAAAGAAGGGGAGGACAAAACCTTTAAATCCAATGCATGTCTTCACACTGGTCTGTTGCACTTCTCTTGCAGTGTTAAAAATCCTGCTTGCTGCATATTTGGCGAGTTACAGAAGATGCACCACAATCACACCTCCCCATTGAGGCCTGGTACACAATGTGTATTTTGGTGCTTTTTGCATGTTAAACACATTTAACATGGTATCCTACGGGACACAGTCACATCTATGCTGTTTTGAGGCGCTGCATTTTAGGAGAGGGTCAGGAATTTTTTTTTTTTTTTTTTTTTTTTAAACGCATGTCGCAAACGTTGCTTTTTTGGTTTAAAGGGTTATAACTTCCACCTGGCAGTACTCGGGTCGTCGGTTCGAATCCCAACCAAGGAGCCACCTGCCTGAAGTTTGCATGTTCTCCCTGTGCCTGCGCGTGGGTTTCCTCCAGGTACTACCGGTTTCCTCCCACACTCCAAAGACATGCTGGTAGGTGAATTGGCTCCTGTATAAATTGTCCCTAGTATGTGTATGTATGAATGTGAGTTAGGGACCTTAGATTGTACGCCCCTTGAGGGTTAGGGACTGATGTGAATGTACAATATATATGTAAAGTGCTGCGTAAATTGACGGCACTATACAAGTACCACACACACACACACACACATACAGTATACAGTCAGGTCCATAAATATTGGGACATCGACACAATTCTAACATTTTTGGCTCTATACACCGTCACAATGGATTTGATATGAAACAAAGAAGATGTGCCCAGGCCATTTTTCAGGTTTCAGGGCTCTCACACTTTGAATGACAATTGCGCGGTCATACAACATTGTACCCAAACTAAAATTTTATCATTTTCTTCACACAACTAGAGCTTTCTTTTGGTGGTATTTAATCACCGCCGGGGTTTTTATTTTTTGCTAAATAACAAAAAAAAAACCAAAAATTTTGAAAAAAAAAAAAAAAAAACAAACAAAAAATACATTTTTCTTTGTTTGTTCTAAAAGTTTACAAATAAATAATTGTTCTTCATAAATTTAGGCCGAGATGTATTCTGCTACATGTCTTTGGTGAAAATAACCCAATTAGGATGTATTATTTAGTTTGTAGGAAAGTTATAGAGTTCACAAACTATGGTATAGATCTGAAAATTGATCAATCCTGAAGTACTGACAGCCAATCTGATTTCCTGAGGTCCAAGAATGTCAGGACAGATATCCCCCAAATGTACAGATATCCCCCAAATGTCAGAACAGTACAGATATCCCCCAAATGTCAGAACAGTACAGATATCCCCCAAATGTCAGAACAGTACAGATATCCCCCCAAATGTCAATGATATCAAACAGTACAGATATCCCCCAAATGTCAGGGACAGACAGGACAGATATCCCCCAAAATGTCAGGACAGTACAGATATCCCCCAAATGTCAGGACGGGACAGGATATCCCCCAAATGTAGGACAGATATCCCCCAAATGTCAGGACAGTACAGATATCCCCCAAATGTCAGGAGGACAGTACAGATATCCCCCAAATGTCAAATGACCCCAGTTTTTGCAGAGTAGACAGTCCCACGTACTTCATAAGAGGAATGGCGAGTTTTTTGAAGTTGTATTTTTTTTGTCATAATTTTTCGGAAAATGAAAAAATTAAAAAAATTATTTTCACTATTTTTTTTTTTTTTTTTACATACTATCACCAGTGCAGTACAGCGTCATCATATAACTGGCATGGCAGTGAACAGGGACACTGACTGGTGACAGTGTGAAAAAAAAAAAATATATATATTTCTTTTTATTTTTAATTTTTTATTACATTTTTTTTTTTTTTAAGATTTATTTTTCATATTTTACCATGACCAAAGTAGTACAATGTTACCATAGTAACATTGTACTACTTTGGGGAAGTGATCAGTATTTTTGTTTTTTTTTTTACAGAATTTGCTTATAGCAAAGAATTACTTTGCTATAAGCTAGCATTTACCTGAATGATATCGATTCATTCAGGGTTTTTTTTTTTTTTTGCTTAGCTGTGATTTGGCCACAGCTAATCACATGACATGTGCATGTGACCTGCTGTGACCATTCACAGCTAGGCACTAGTATACAATGGATGGCATGAATGAAGCCATCCATTGTATACAACTGTCATGTGACCTGCTGTGATTGGTCACAATACTCAGACCGGCCCATCTGTCAAACAACCATGCCACGTTCAAAGTCCCCATTCTGATGCTCGGTTTGAACTTCAGCAAGTCGTCTTCACCACGTCTAGATGCCTAAATGCATTGCTGCCATGTGATTGGCTGATTAGCAATTTGTGTTACTAAGCAATGCAACAGGTGTACTCAATAAAGAGGCGGTTGAGAGTGTGTGTGTATACATTACATACATACACCCCCCCCCCCCCCCACAGTGAAATATATAGGGACTTCACCCCCCCACCGGTACCTGACACCTTGTCCTCCAGTTTGATGAAGGCCACCTTCCCTTGGATGTCAGTCTCATCCTCCCCGTCCAATCCGGTTGTTCCAGCTTCCAGTCGGAGGCCCTGTGTGTACAGACATATCAGTGAGTGTGTGTATAGGGATGGGTATGGAGTGGGAGGGGTGTTGTAGTAACAGGATTCCCCTCATAATCCCAGATGCAGGCCCGGTGGGGGATGGGGAGGTGTATTGTAGAACGGTTTCCCTTCCCACCTGTACCATGGGTTGGAGGTCAGGTGGGAAGTGTTGTAGTACCTGTATCCCCAGCTGGGGGGTGTGCGGGATTGTTAGTGGGTGAGGGGTGCTGAAGTATCAGGGTCCCCTCTCTCACCTGTACCCCCAGTTGGAGACTGGGGAAGGATGTGGGAAACGGGAATGGATAGGGAAAGGCGTTGTAGTATCTGTACCCTCAGGTTGAGGGACGTGGAAGATTATTGAGGGGGAGGTGTATTGTAGTACCTGTACCTCCTATTGGACGGATAGCAGAGGTGTGTTGCAGTACCACGGCCCCTCTCTCACCTGTACCCCCTCCCTGCTGGAGGCTGGGAGTGGTATGTGGGAGATGGGTATGGAGGGGGAAGGGTGGGTGTTGTAGTATTTGTACCCCCGATTGGAGGGTTGAGGAAGTGGATTTTGAGGGGGAGGTGTGTTGTAGTACCTGTACCCCCTATTGCAGGGATAGTGGAGGTGTGTTGCAGTACCACGGCCCCTCTCTCACCTGTACCCCCTCCCTGCTGGAGGCTGGGGATGGTATGTGGGAGATGGGTATGGAGGGGGAAGGGTGGGTGTTGTAGTATTTGTACCCCCGGTTGGAGGGATGTGGAAGTTGATTTTGAGGGGGAGGTGTGTTGTAGTACCTGTAGCCCTGGTTGGAAAACTGGGGAGGGATGTGGGGAATGGGTATGAATGGGTGTTGCAGTTTGAGGGGGAGGGTGTTGTAGTACCTTGTCCCTCAACTGGAGGGATGCCAGGAATGGGTATGGGGGGGTGTTGAATCTGTACCCCCAGATAGTGAGATGTGGGGGAGGAGTCTGGGTTGTCCCCCCCCGGTGGTATGGAGGGGGAGAGGTATGGTAGCACCTGTTACACCGGAGAGTTGGATGTGGGGGAGGGGTGTATTAGTACAGCACCCTTCCTTGCCTGTACCCCTGATTTGTGGCATGTGGGGGAGGGGTGTTACAGTACAGGGTCCCCCCTCACCTGTACCCCTGGTAGGAGAGATGAGGGAGGGGTGTTTTAGTACATGCCCCTCTCACTTGCACCGCAGATGGTGGGATGTGGGGGAGGAGTGTTCTAGTATGGGGTCTCCCCTCACCTGTACCCCTGGTAGGTGGAATATGGGGGAGGGGTGTTCTAGTACGGGGTCCCCCTCACATGTACCCGATTGGCGAGATGTGGGGGCAGGATACTGTAGAACGGAGCCCCCCCCCTCACCTGTACCCCCCGATTGGTGGGATGAGGGAGAGGGGAATGAAGGGGTACTATAATTCGGGGTCCCCCTCATTTGTACCCAAGGTTAGGATGTGTGGGAAGGGTATTGTAATATGCCACCCCCCACCTGTACCCCCAGTTGAAGGGATGTGGTGGAAGAGAATGGAGGGGTGTTGTAGTATGGGGTCACCCCTCACTTTTACCCCTAGTTGGAGGGCTGTGGGGGAGGGGTGTTGTAGTCCCCCCCACCTGTACCCCAAGTTGGTGGGATGTGGGGGAGGAGTATTGTAGTACGAGGTGCCCCCTCACCTGCACCACCAGTTGGAGGGACGTGGAGGAGGGTTATTGAAGTACGAGTCCCCGCTCACCTGAACCCCCAGTTGATGGATTTGTGGGGGTGTGTTCTAGTACTGCCCCTCACCTGTACCCCCAGTTGGAGGTATGTGGGGGGATGGATTTTGTAGTTCAGGCCTCTCCCTCACCTGTACCCCCCGATGGTGGGGGGAGAGGAATGGAGGGGTATTGTAGCACGGGGTCCCCCTCACCTGCACCCCCAGTTGGGATGTGGTGGAGGGGTATTGTAGTACAGGGTGCCCCCTCACCTGTACCACCAGTTGGAGGAACGCGGAGGAGGGGTATTGAAGTACGGAGTCCCTGCTCAACTGTACCCCCGATCAGAGGGATGTGGAGGAGGGGAATAGAGGGGTATTGTAGTATGGGGTCCCCCCCCCTTACCTGACCCCCAGTTGGTGGATTTGTGGAGGGAGAAGTGTTATAGTACAGGGCCCCCCCACACTTGTACCCCCGGTTGGAGGGATGTGGGGGAAAGGTGTGTAGTTCAGACCATTCCCTCACCTGTACCCCGGTTTGTGGAATGTGGGGGACGAGTATTGTAGTATGGGGTATCCCCCTCACCTGTACCCCGGTTAGAGGAAAGTAGAGGAGGGGTACAATAGTTCGGAGGAGTCCCCCCTCACCTGTACCCGCAGTTGGAGGGATGTGGGGGAGGGGTGTTGTAGTCCCCCCACCTGTACCCGCAGTTGGAGGGATGTAGTGAAGGGGAATGAAGGATTGTTGTAGTATGGGGCCCCCCTCACCTTTACCCCCAGTTGGTGAGATGTGGGGGAGGGGAATGGAGGGGTGTTGTAGTACAGGACCCCCTCTCACCCGTGGCCCCAGTTGGAGGGATGTGGAGGAGGGGTGTTGTAGTACAAAGTCCCCACTCAACTGCAACCCCAGTTGGAGGGATGTGGAGAAGGGGAATGGAGGAGTATTGTAGTACAGGATCCCCCCTCACCGGTACCCCCAGCTGGTGGATTTGAGGGGGGGGGAGGGTTGTAGTTCACACCTCTCTCTCACCTGTAACCCCCAGTTGGAGGGATATGGGGGAGGGGTATCGTAGTTCAGGCCTCTACCTCACCTGTGCTTCCGGTTGGTGGGATGTGGGGGAGGGAAATGGAGGGGTGTTGTAGTTCAGGCCTCACCTGTATCCCTGGTTAGTGGGATGTGGGGGAGGGGAATGGAGGGGTGTTGTAGTTCGGTCCTCACCTGTACCCCCGGTTGGAGGGATGTGGGGGACGGAAATGGAGGAGTATTATAGTTTGGGGTCCCCCTCACCTGTAGCCCCAGTTGAAGAGATGTGGGGAAGGGGTCTCCCTCACCTGTAGCCCCGGTTGGTGGGATGTGGGGGAGGTGTATTATAGTTCGGGGTCCCCCTCACCTGTAGCCCCGGTTGGAGGCCCGGGGCGGGATCCGGTACACACTGATTTCCGGTTTCACACACAGCACGGACTCGTACTCGGCCTCCGCCGCCATCTTCACTCAGCCCGACCGACCAGCTGACAGACCGACTTCCGCCCGTCACCATGGAGACCACATCCGGGATCGGGACCAATCACAGAACTACAGAGGTCCCGTGACTGCGAGAAACACGATTCCGCCACCCCCGGGGTGCAATCCTTTCCAGAACTGTCTTCTTGCCAACCGGCCGGGAATGTACGGGCATACCGGACAGCGGCCGCCCCTAAAAAATATGGACCGGTACCCTCTTTGCAACTGCGCATGTGCAGTTACGAAGTCTCCGCAGCGCCCGGGAAACTCGGCTGGTCTAGTGGGGGGCGCATGCGCAGCCATCGACATCTCGGCGCCTTTTCTGAGGCGAGTGGACACGCCCCCTTTACCTCAGCGGTGAGCTGAGGAGAACTGAAACTAACCGGGACGGGACCAACGGTGATTGTCAGCCACCGACATTTTTGTTCACCTCACCAACATCCCTCCCCCTACCCTACACTGGATACATGACTGACCTGTGTGAGAATATATATATATATATGTAAGTATGTGTGTATATATATTATTTATTTCAGGAACTTATCAGGTATATATCGCCGTCAATTTACGCCGCACTTTACATATATATTGTACATTCACATCAGTGCCCGCCCCCGAGGAGTGCACAATCGAAGGTCCCCGCCCCCGAGGAGCGCACAATCGAAGGTCCCCGCCCCCGAGGAGCGCACAATCTAATGTCCCCGCCCCCGAGGAGCGCACAATCTAAGGTCCCTAATTCACATTCATACACATACTAGGGGCAATTTAGACAGGAGCCAATTCACCTACCAGAATGTCTTTGGAGTGTGGGAGGAAACCCACACAGGCACAAGGAGAACATGCAAACTCCAGGCAGGTGGAGCCGTGGTTGGGATTTGAACCGACGACCCGAGTACTGCTATATATATTATATATATATATATATATATATATATATATATATACAGGTGAAACTCGAAAAATGAGAATATGGTGCAAAACTTGATTTATTTCAGTGCAGCAACTTAAAAGGTGACACTAATATATGAGACTCATTCCATGCAAAGCAAGATAGTTCAAGCCGTGATTTGTCATCATTGTGATGATTATGGCTTACAGTTCATGAAAACCCCAAATCCACAATCGCAGAAAATGAGAATATTACATGCAATCAATAAAACACGGATTGTACATAGAACAATATCGGACCTCTGAAAAGTAGAAGCTGCATATGTACTCAGTACTTGGTTTGGGCCCCTTTTGCAGCAATTACTGCCTCAATGCGGCGTGGCATGGAAGCTATCAGCCTGTGGCACTGCTGAGGTGTTATGGAAGACCAGGATGCTTCAATAGCGGCCTTCAGCTCTTCTGCATTGTTCGGTCTCATGTCTCCCATCTTTCTCTTGGCAATGCCCCATAGATTCTATATGGGGTTCAGGTCAGGCGAGTTTGCTGTCCAATCAAGCACAGTAATCCCACGGTCATTGAACCAGGTTTTGGTGCTTTTGGCAGTGTGGGAGGTGCCAAGTCCTGCTGGAAAATGAAGTCAGCATCCCCATAAAGCTCGTCTGCGGAAGGAAGCATGAAGTGCTCCAAAATCTCCTGGTAGACGGCTGCGTTGACCCTGGACTTAATGAAGCACAGTGGACCAACACCAGCAGATGACATGGCTTCCCAAATCACAGAGTGTGGAAACTTCACACTGGACTTCAAGCATCTTGCAGTGTGTGCCTCTCCATTCCTCCTCCATACTCGGGGTCCTTGTGCCTCTCCATTCTTCCTCCATACTCGGGGTCCTTGGGCCTCTCCATTCTTCCTCCATACTCGGATCCTTGGGCCTCTCCATTCCTCCTCCATACTCGGGGTCCTTGGGCCTCTCCATTCTTCCTCCACACTCTGGGTCCTTGGGCCTCTCCATTCCTCCTCCACACTTGGGGTCCTTGGGCCTCTCCGTTCCTCCTCCACACTCGGGGTCCTTGGGCCTCTCCATTCTTCCTCCATACTCAGGGTCCTTGGGCCTCCCCATTCTTCCTCCACACTCGGGGTCCTTGGGCCTCTCCGTTCTTCCTCCACACTTGGGGTCCTTGGGCCTCTCCGTTCTTCCTCCACACTCGGGGTCCTTGGGCCTCTCCATTCTTCCTCCACACTCGGGGTCCTTGGGCCTCTCCATTCTTCCTCCATACTCGGGGTCCTTGTGCTTCTCCATTCTTCCTCCATACTCGGGGTCCTTGGGCCTCTCCATTCTTCCTCCATACTCGGGGTCCTTGGGCCTCTCCATTCTTCCTCCATACTCGGGGTCCTTGGGCCTCTCCATTCTTCCTCCATACTCGGGGTCCTTGGGCCTCTCCATTCTTCCTCCATACTCGGGGTCCGTGGGCCTCTCCATTCTTCCTCCATACTCGGGGTCCTTGGGCCTCTCCATTCCTCCTCCATACTCGGGGTCCTTGGGCCTCTCCATTCTTCCTCCATACTCGGGGTCCTTGGGCCTCTCCATTCTTCCTCCATACTTGGGGTCCTTGGGCCTCTCCATTCTTCCTCCATACTCGGGGTCCTTGGTTTCCAAATGAGATGCAAAAGTTGCTCTCATCAGAAAAGAGGACTTTGGACCACTGAGCAGCAGACCAGATCTGTTTTTCTTTAGTCTAGGTAAGACGCTTCTGATGTTGTTTGTTGTTCAGGAGCGGCTTGACAAGAGGAATACTGCATTTGAAGCCCATGTCCAGGATCCGTCTGTGTGTGGTGGCTCTTGATGCACTGACTCCAGCCTCAGTCCACTCCTTGTGAAAGTCCCCAACACTTTTGAATGGCCTTTTCCTGACAATCCTCTCCAGGCTGCGGTCATCCCTGCTGCTTGTGCGCCTTTTTCTTCCACACTTTTCCCTTCCACATAACTTTCTATTAATGTGCTTTGATACAGCACTTTGGGAACATCCAACTTCTATTGCAATTCCCTTTTGAGTCTTTCCCTCCTTATGGAGGGTGTCAGTGATGGTGTCAGGTCAGCAGTCTTTCCCATGATTGTGATTCCTACTGAACCAGACAGAGAGACCATTTAAAGGCTCAGGAACCCTTTGCAGGTGTTATGGCTGAATGAGCTGATTAGAGTGGGACACTTTGAGCCGAGAATATTGCACCTTTTCACAATATTCTCATTTTCTGAGATTGTGGATTTGGGGTTTTCATGAGCTGTAAGCCATAATCATCACAATGATGACAAATCACGGCTGGAACTATCTTGCTTTGCATGGAATGAGTCTCATATATTAGTTTCACCTTTTAAGTTGCTGCACTGAAATAATGAACTTTTGCACCATATTCTCATTTTTCGAGTTTCTCCTGTACTGCGCGAGGGGAACCTAATTATAGAAGATCCCTGGTTTGATTTCCAATAAGTGATGTGGCCCTTATAGGGTCGCTTCAAGGAGGTGAGTCAATTTAGCCACACACGGATTATTTCCAATCGGTGGTTATGCACATCCACAATATCACTTGCACCTAAAGTGTTTGGAGTACTTTTAGATGTTCATCTTTTGGACTTTTCTTCTTTTTACTTGGACTATTTCATGTGATTATTTATGTTGATGTGATTATTTACCACATTCTTTCAATTTTTATTGTTTTATTAGATGTTTCTTGATATGTTATCACGGCACTTGTCACCATTGTGAGATGTGATCCCAAATTTAGGGATCCACTCGGTGTCACTCAGTTGTGTATATATATGACTTAATTTAGCCATTTTCTTTCTGGTCACTACTTGCACTAATATATTGATCCCATTTTAGGGATTCACTTTACTATTATCATTTATTGTCCCATTTGTACGATTTGTTGTCACCGGTTCCTGGTCTGGATACCAGGTGAGATGACGTCTAATTACTCACCATAGATCCCAGAGAGGATCAATTCACTGATTATTAGTCATTGTGGTATTTATTCACTTTGCACATTTTTTGCCTATTGTGTTATATATTGTGTTATAGGATTATATTTAGGGTAGCGCTGCACCAATTTATTTATTTAACACTGGTAGCGTGCAGATTTTTTTCTGTGCATTAATCTGCAATGTGTATAAAACTAATTGAAGCACGCATGAAAACTGATGGTCTCCGCAAGTGAAATCTGTGCATTAGTTTGCACCAGTTTTTCTGCAGGTATGGTATGAACGAGGCCTAATACATAGAATGCATGAAGGTAAAAATCCTTGAGCCTTTACAGCCACTTGGATTGTCCTGCTACCGGTAGAGGCAATAGACCTTGTATTTCAAGGCCTTGTTACTACTACATCAGGGTTGTCTGCCTAATACTCACCTAGCATAGGGAGTTCACCAGAGCGTTTTATGATGTTTTGTACTTCTCGTATTACTCCTATTACTGTGTGGAATATTATTAGTGTGCAATTTTTTTCTCAATGAAATGAAGTGAAAAAACAAATACATTTCACACATTTTACACAACTGATTTTATTTTTGGTTATGGGTTTATTCTCTTCTGTTCCAAAAAAGACAACTGGCAGAACATATCCTATGTAAACTTTAAAAAAAAATAAAAAAGTTGCAAAAACCATGAACTGCAGCCGATGGCTAAAGGTTCAGTTCAGCAAATTCTGAATGTTCATCCTATGTAGGAAACGTTGCACTGAAACAGGGATTTTTAGTTCACATACTTTGCAATGCATGTTTAAGCCGGCCAACTGCGTCAAAGTAATCCCTCTCTGGCCAGTCCCTATTCTACTCTGCAAAAAGCAAATGCTCTAGAGGATATACTGCCAATACGTTTCCGTACGTATTCACATTTATCCCATTTATTTTGCAGCTGCTTTTTGTCTGTTTTCTGTAAATATTTTTTTTCATTAAAACTATATTTTAAACAATATTTTAAAATGATTAGGCTGATTTTCTAGTCGCTCCAATCAGAAATGAAAGAATTCCACATTGCAAATTTGCAAATGCTCTAATGGGATGTGTATATGATGCAATATCGGGCAGATAGACACAAGTTATAGG